CCCCAAAACCCCAAAACCCCAAAACCCCTGGATAAAATGATTAGGCTGAAAAATTTTCAATACAAAATTTTAGAAAATGGATCCTATTTGTGCAAACTCAGTTGATGAACTCATCACTGAATGGTACTCAAGTAACTTCGATGAACTTGGAACCCTTGGCTTTGAGTTTGGAGAAATTACCACAAATTCTGAACAAAATATCTTTGCTTTTAGCTTCAAAATAGGGAAGAGCTCCTTCTTGTTCCTTTACAACAAAGGCTTCTCCTTCCAGACCAAAGAGGAGGAATACCAAGAAGTCTTTTCTAGAATAAATCATAGAATTGAAAACTCCTCTATGAATGCCATTGAGTGACTTAGCCACTGTATCAAGACACTTAAAAACTTCAGATACAGAAAAGTAGAAGATGAGTCTGACAAATTCTGAGATTCTCGCATGGAAGATGACAACGGTGAGGGAGAAGACATCCCTGGATGGTCTGATGAGGAGGAAGATTTCCAAGACACCTTCATTGAACCATATTCACAAGAGGAATCAAAGATAGATGATAGAGATCAAACTATTTCCAGTATCAACAATATTTTTAAAGCAAGCATCAAAGTCTCTGAAGCTAACATTGTTAACATATTTTTGAAATTGGATATTTACCAGCACGCCAGAGATCTTCAAAAGCTTGTTGAAGAAAATCTCGATATGGCTGCTTCTTCTTTTAAAGTTCAGATCTTTGAGCCATACTTGATGATCAAGTTCAAAGTCGATCTAAACTACTTGAGCACTTCTCATACTGCCTATGAGTCACTTGGATTCAAGATGCAAGAGTTGGTTGAATATCTGATAGTATTTGATGAAAGCAAACTATTATTATTTGAGAACGATTCGACATTTTACTCTAAAAGTCTCAAAGAACTTGTCAGCCTTGGAATTGTCAAAATAGAATTTGCTCAGAAAAGAGATGACACTGAACACTCCAGATACAGATCGTACTTGCAAATGACCCAGTCAAAATATTTTGAGTCTGAAGAATACAGCCTCAATGATTTGGATGGGCTTCACACATTTGATCATGATGAAATCAGCCAAGCAAAGCAGGCATTATCAGAAATGGGCTTTCAAAGCTCAGTTATTTCGAAAGCATTGAGAAAGACCAAATACCAAATCCAAAATGCAGTCAACTATTTGCTTATGAGAAGCCACATTGAAGAAGAGACAAAAGATCAAGAAAGAGACCTTGAAATTGAAGATGTTGACCCTAAGTTCATGCTCTTCAACAATGTCAGTGAAGGAGAGCTTTTTGTAAACTCTCTGCTCCACTACTACATGTATATTATCTGAAGTCTTGACAGTGTGCTAGAGCACTGCTGAATCTGCAGAGACAAGCTTTCAACCAAGTCAACCAAGATCAGGTGCTGCAACAAAGAACTGTGAGAGTTTTCTTTCGAAGAGTCGGAAGGGATCTCGATTGTGCCTGAAATCAAAAACGATCTGACCACATTTTCATTGGACCTGTCGATCTTCTCAGAGTGACTAATGTCTGACCGAGCTGGACAATGCTTTGAGCCATTTCCATCATTTTTGTTGAAAGACAGAGAGCTGAGAAGCAAAAGAGGGTATTTAGACAATGTTCAAAAAGCTAGAAAAGCAGGTAAATAAAGCTGAAAACATTAAAGAAAGCAACAAAGATTTGAAATTGATTAGAAATTTGATAAAATGCATGCCATCACCTTCAAAAATTTCAGAATTATGTCAGAATGATAATGACCTGCTAACAATGCTGGAATCCAAATTTAAGGATAAAGGTAATGGCAAGTCTCTCTACAAGCTTCTACAGTACCTAATTTGTACCAATAAAGTGAGCTTCAAGAAGTTGCCTGATGAGAAGAGGCTATCTGGCAGAGACGGAATAGATGAGTACATAATCTACAACCATGAAGCCAGCAAAGAACAAACTTTCCAATGAATCAAAAGGAAGTATAACTCCAGGTGGACTTATCATGGAAGTTCAATGGAGAACTGGTACAGCATCCTGAGAAATGGGCCAAGGAACTTATCGAATTCATCAATGATGCTGGATGGAGCCACAGAAGGAGAAGGAGTGTACTCTTCTCCATTCTTTCAAGTTTCTAGTGGGTACTCCCGTGCAAGGTATATTTATGAGGCAACAGGAATAGATTCCATTCTTGCTAGCTGGAAACATTCAAAAGTGGCTTCAAAGTGTATTGTTGGAGTTTTAGAGTTAATAGACAAGAAAAATTATGATTTAAACATTAACAACTGAGGCTTCATTGTTTGTCCTGATGATCACTGAATCATGCTCAGGTACATATGGGTTTATGACCAAAATAATTTGGTTTACAATCATGAAGAGGTAGATGTCAAGAAAAATAATGAAAAATACAGCAAAGAGTATTACCAAACAGTAGCTGAAATACATGAAGAAGAATTACAAGAAAGGAAAAAGAGACTTTTAGAAGCTCATAATAAAGCCGAAAAGAGATTCCAGCAAGACGAAGAGGCAAGAAAGGACTCAGAGCTAATTATGAAACAGAGCCAAGAGAGCTATAATAAAGGATATTTAAAGATAAACCAGCCAGGAGAATAATCAGCTTATGGATCAACTGTTCTTCTCTAGGATGCTCATCTCATATTATTGGTGAAAGGATCTTAGTTGTTACATTTTTAATAAAAAGTATACTCTTTACACAATCATAGATCAGATTTTTGGGGTTTTGGGGTTTTGGGGTTTTGGGGTTTTGGGG